AAAGAGAAAAAGAGATAGAGAGAGAGAGAGAGAGAGAGAGAGAGAGAGAGAGAGAGAGAGAGAGAGAGAGAGAGAGAGATGGAGAAAGAATCCAAGAAGAAAGTGAGAGAAACAAGCAAGAATGCACCATCATCGCATCAGAACAAATCAAGAAACTCCCCCCAGTCATGCAAGGGAAATGGAAATGCACAGCCACCACCACACCTGATGATAAAAAAGGCACAAATGACAGGGAACAGCCGACGACACCAAAAAAAGAAACACAACACAGCATAGAGGCAGGTTAGCAGACAAACATCACATAGCCATGAAGTTATCTGCCGGCTGAAGAATCTGCAGACAATAATTGATACAACCATAAGGAGTGAGCGTATCCTCAGAATACCGTCTTCTCCCAAACAGAACGCATATGCGCTGTAAATGCATACAAGACAGAGGTTGCTTTCTATTCGAATACAACGCATGTGTCATTCGAACAGCCGTTTTGTTCGAAAACAATGCATATGCATTCTGTTCGAATCATCGAGTTTTTTCGAATACTCACATACACTGCATATGCGTTATGTTCGGGAGAAGACGGTAGCACTGTCTTAAATGTATCTGACCTAGGACCTAGGACCTATTCACAGAACCATGGACTTAGGGTGGTGACAATGACATCATCAACAGAAGCAGCAGCAACACTGAGAGATATCTGGGGGTAGCTGGTATTGAACCTGCAACCTGCCCCAACTTTCTCTTGATTTTAAATTTGTCCTTGAAGTTCTCTGTTTGCTACTCCCAGGATTCGAACCTAGGACCTCTTCATACAACCCTGAATTTAAGGTGATGATAATGCACTAACAGCCAAAAAGAAAAACTGAGAAAAGAGTAAAAATTCTGGGAAATATGACAGTTTCGGCGAAAAAAATTCGCCAAAATTCGCCGAATTTTGGGCCTTCCATTAACCGCTTATCATCATCATCTGCAGCAGCAGCAGCAGCGGCGGCACTCAGCACAACCTCAATTAAAAAAAATAGATAGCACAGCAGGGTTGCATCCCTGCCGACCGCCGACCCCGACCGCCAACCGTATTGCAGCCGGCCAGTCGGCTATCTGCCGACCAGTCAGAAAAAACAAAAACAAAAAAATGGGGAGGGAGGGGGGGGGAGTTCAAAACACAGAGGGTTCTCAGTACTCTCGG